GACTGGATCCACCACCTGCCACCAAGTGTTTCCAAAAGCACTGCAGTTGTAAAACCCAACAATGACTACCCAATATATAAATACAACAGCAAAAGCTCCCATAAGAAATGAGACTAGAAATGAGTTTTTAAAATCTCAGGTCACCGACTAGGGTTTTGATGCCCTATTTCCATCCTAACTGGGGCACAGTTTTACCAACAGCAAAGGAAAAATCAGCAGTCCTGGAGTAGCTCCAAAACACATGAAGAGAGGTCCTCAGGCCTCCTGAGAGCTACTGGAATGAAAAAGGCATGAAAATAGCCAGAACAGAGTTCAGATGATAAGATTCCTAATGGGACATGAGTATGCATTTTGCCAAGATTCATTCTAATTTTGGAACTCAATTGGAAACTTTTGAACGTCATGTTCTATTTGGCTCTGCAAAACATAGCTCTTCATTGCTTCGTGTTTATTTTATTCCTCAAGACCAGAGCATAATTTACTTGTAGCTAGATTTTTTTGTTTAACACAAACTTCCATTTAGAAAAACAAGCTGATTTTCTCCCTGATAGGTCCATAGGTGAAAAAAATGTACAGTGGAGAAAGTTTCCACAAGAAAAAAAAGCATACCGGATAAAGAAAATTTATGCAAACTGAAACACCCAGAGGTGAATATTTTGTAAAGCCTAAAGTATCATGAGTCCTAAACTTGGCATAGAATAGTAAAGATTAGATTGAGAAAATCAGGACTCCCCTAATTCAGACAGAACAGCAACTTCTGTAGCACCTCTTCCTTGTAAAAAATTTCTTACCATATTTGAACATATATTTTGAGGAGTATTAGAACTTCCCTAGAAACTATGTCCTCTAACACTTAAACTGAGGCTTTCCTTATTATTACCATTTCCATCTTTATTTCGTTTTTGGTTTTACTCTCAAATAAGAGTAAAATTAATCATATTAGTAGAAGACCAATTTCACCTATAGTTAAAGTCTTTGGGAGCCTACAATAAAAAATTTTCGAGAAGAATTGGGAAAAGGTCTGTATTATCCAGGACTCTTTCAAAAACCCAATCTGAATTTTTTTTAAAAAAGTGATTTTTGGCTCATGTAAGTAAAAAGACTTCTCCACCACCTCCAAATGGAGAGGTAAAGGGCTTGGATCAGCCCGGATGAGTTGTTCCTGTGCCTGGCCCAGCCGCTGTGATTGACTTGGTTCATCTCCCACGTGGCAAATGGTCAGGCCAAGTAGATTCATTTACAGAAGAAAGAGGGATTGCAGATGGTTGATTAAGAGACATTATAACTTCACAAATTTTAAAGAAGAAAGAGAATGTCATAATGCTTCAAAGCTAGTAAATTAGGATTTATACTAATCTTAAAAAAGAAAATTAAAAAGACAAAGTATCAATGAAATAGGGTATCTTCAGCATCAATACCAATTACTATAAGATGTGCTCTAGATGCTACAGGTACTTCCTCTGTGGACACCTTAAAGGTGTCAAGAAGATAGCACAACAAAGTGACTGACAGCATGGATTTGATACCAACTGATAAAGCTTAAACACTAGCAGTGTTTTGTGTTAACTTCTAGTATTTCAGAAAGTTATTAGGCCTCTTCAATCATTAGTCTCTTCATTTACAAAAGTAGTATAAGTTTTTTTCTTAGATTATTGGGAGGATTAAATGAAAACACAAAAAAATGCTTGCTATGGTATTGATCACTTAAAATCATGAAGCATTTATTTTTAATTATATTGGCATTATCATAATTATCATAGTAACTAGCATGTGCATTAATGTCAAAGCCAGAGAATTCTAGGAAGGAGCATAGTCATCACTATCCACTGTTCCTTTGCATGACCTTTCTAGACTGAGAAACATTCTACTATACATCCTGTCCACTGATATGTAACCCTAGCATTTACCTTAGATCTGTTTCAATTCTCCCTGTTCCACTTTCCATAATTTCTCTTTTATCCACTGAAGCATGAAGCACTAAAAGCAAGATAACAGTGCCCTTGATAGTTCTTTTAGCCTTTTGAAAAGAGATTTCACTGGCAATGAGGTCCAGAAATTGCAGTATTAGCTGTGAGCAACCAAACATAACCCCTCAGAAAAATATCAAAACAGTGCCCCAACTTCTGGAACCAACTGGCAAAGTAATGTACAATCCCAGCAGACTATATCAGAAAGGAGGCAACTTTGAGGACCTGTAGGAAAAACTGGAGTCTTCAAGGAAAATTATAAACACATAACTTCTACCTTCTGGTGAACTCTATTATGTCTTACTTTTCATTACATTTTCCATTGAAGATTCCAGAAAGAGGAATGTCTCAACAGAGAACAGTTCCTTTACTTCCACCACGGCTGTCAGGGGCCCCAGAAGCCTTCAAATTTAGGACACAGACTTTTTCCAAGTAAGGAAATGATAGGAAAATTCTTACTCTTTGAGTTTGTCCTCTGTGTTCTGGTAAATGTCTATGGCAGCAGTTACTCAGGAGTCAAAGTCTTATTTTTTTAATTTCATAAGAGTATTTTTCTTTCTAATTATGAAAGGCAAATATAATAGCACCTTATATTTATATAGAAATGGACCGCAGAAAGTGCTACAAATATTGCCACTCCCTTCCTCTCTCCCTCTCTCTCCTGGTGGAAGCAATGTATTTTCTCCTCACCTCTCACGTGGAGTGTATAGTCTGTTAGAAGCATTGCAAGTCAGAATCCAGTCTTTTTTTGAACTGAAAAAGTAGTATTAGGTTTTCTTTCTGTTAGAAAAACATTTTTATGCAAAAATGAAGCTTAATGCACAGTACTCAGGGTAATTGCCCTGAGAAGGGACTCAGCTAAGACTATTTGCTTTTCAACACAACAAAACTATCATTTTTCCAGTTTCTTCCATATTCTTTACATCTTGAATGATGGTGGTGGTTGGTATCCTGTCAACATCAGAATTACATGCTCACACCAAAGGGTGATCATTGTCCTGTGAAGATCATGTGTGTTCTCAGTCACAACGCATTGCTTCGTGTGAGGTGCAGTGTTAAGTGTTTGGAAGACACACTCCCAAAGGTATCTTATTTTCAGATGAGAGAAAAACCAAGGTTCAGAGAAGCTGAATGCTTTGATTTAGAGTTGGACAGCCAGTAGTGAAACTGAAGAGACAAGAAGGTTGTGGGCTTTACACTGTATTCTTCCTGCTTTTGCCATAATTACAGGGCTGTGCCTCTTAAAATAGCACAGCTGCTGTAACAAACAAGTCCCTAAATGTCAGTGGCTTACCACCATAAACATTTTCTTCCCATTTACAAGACAGTACAGTGTGAGTTTTCCTAGTCAGCAGATGATGGCTATCCATCTCCATCACCTCGGACAATGAGTTTTTTATTTTGCGACTTCATTATCCCACGTTATCCTCATCATGTTCTTGGAAGCTCATTTCTCTCCAGCCTCATCTCTTGCCTGTCTCTGCATCTCACTGCTGTGCAGACACAGTACCATATCAACTGGCCTTCTACTGCCCCAGGGGCTCCACAATTGTAACCCCTTTCTCTTGCCTGGATATTCACAGCTGCCTCTTTCCCACCAGTCCAGCCCCAGGTGTCCTCTATTCAAAAGGAAGCACACTCCGGCACACTCCGGCACACTCCGGCAGTTGCTCTCCCTGCAACCCATCCCATCTGTCCCCTTTCCTTCATGGCTCTTTTGACCCTTTGGAGCCAGAGGATATCATTTGTTTGCTTATACATCTGTGTTCCCTGCAAGACTGGAAGCTCTTGAGGGCAGAAACTTTGCCAGTCTTGTCAGTCACTGTGTTTCCAGCTCCAGACCAGTGTGGCAGCGTATAGTTATCAATACACTTTCAGTACAGTCTTTGAACTAGTAAATGAACATAAAGTATCAGAGCCCCAGAAGATGAGGAAACGGAGAATATCAAGTCTTCTTCTTCAGTTCAGCATTGATCAAGGGACACAAATGCACCTCCGGGTCACACTCTGTTCCTCACCCTCCACCAACCTGTTTTCACATCCACAAAAATTGCTGATCACAGAGATCCAGAAACAAACAGAGATGCCCTCAGATTCTGGAATGCGTTCCTTCTCAGACAGCAGCTGGCTGTCATCACTGGGTTGCTTCAGCAGCCTTTGTGTTTTACATACCCACGAGTGACCTCTGATGCAGTTCCTTTCTAGGAGCTGCACACAGAGCTGCCAGGGCCAGGCGAGGACTGAAAACCTCATTAAAAAGTTCTGGTGCTGTTGTTATTCTCTCCCAGCCCCCTGTGCAGCCCTCGCTCTTTTCCTTCAGCATGTCCGGGCAGCCCTCTCACCTTCACTATCAGCCAAGACTACCCTGTGCTTTTGAAAACCATCATGATCTGAAAATCAGATGCCCCACAGTCTCAAGCACCCCTCGAAGGTTGCTGTGGCTGAGTGCTGGGCTGCTTCCTCAGGGCCTGATGGTAGGCATAGCCACCTCAGCCCACAGGCACCCTGAGCGGCAGCCTTGCCTTCCATGTCCTCGTTCATCAACCTGCATTGTCTTTTACAGATTAATTTCTCCATTTCCTCAATTAATAGCAATTGGTGACCACCGCACTAGGTTTCAATAAAGTCCATCTCCTGCACCTGCAAGTTCCACATTCATGGATTTTTTTTAAAAAAATTCAGAAAATTCAATTTTACGTAAGGTACTTGAGAGTCTGTGGATTTTAGTCTCCACGGAGTCCTGGAACTAATTCTCTGAGGAATAAGCAGGAGCAGATTGGCAGTGAAGTTAAAGGAGGGTAACCTACAGATTCCAGGGTCACATACATTTTCAAAACTCTGCAAGAGTGACATATTTAATCTGTAATGAGTTAAGACTTTTCCACTCTGACTTCCCCTCACCGCACTTGGGAACACCTTGTGCAGGGTTGTTTTGGAGTCTCTGAAGTATTTTTGAAACTTTACTGAGAAGAAGTAAAGTCGGAGGGTTATTTAGTTTGGGTTTAATGAGACATATTTTGTTGGTGCACTTACCTCTGTACATAGTTAAGTCATTGCTATTCATTGTGGGGTGGAAATGGTTGTAGAAATAGTCCTCTGCCCAAGTGCCACCTCATGCAACATTGGGATATGGAAGCACACAGATGGAAGCCTCTCAGCACGTAAGTGTTCCCTGCAAAATGTAGCCCTGGAAATGCAGTGGAATTGGGGGTCACCAAGGCTTGAAATTATGGAAGCAGTAGCTGGTCCGTGGAAATTCCTCCAGTCATCAGCCACTCAAAACTGCAAGCACAAATTTCAATCCTTATGGCGATTTAGTTAGAAAAGAAATCCTCTCTGTCTCTTTAGAATACAAATATATAATACTTTAAATAGCAAATATGCCTTGGTAAGTGCCACGGGTTTATGTATTCCCCTTAAAATTTATATTTAAAAAATTTTGATCTGTCATTTTAGATGAAAGACTACATTTATCTTTCTATTACTTTTCTTCAAAATTGTTGCCATGTGAACAAACCATCAAAAAGTATGTAGTCAAAAACATATGAGGATAGCAATGTTACAACAGTATGATAAGTAGTTAACAAAAGAAGCAGCATCGTATTTTTCTGTATTTTTGTAGTATAATGTGGTGTCACAATTTTGAAATGTAAAATTTATTTTAATTTCCTGCCTTGTTCTGTAAAAATTTAATTTTTAAAAATGAGCCCGCACACACACACTTGTTAAGTTTCATGCCCTAGGAGACTGGGTAGGCTTCTAGATATAGGTGCAGATAATTTGTGTTATAGTTTGGACCTTAAATATGTGCTCCACATGCTCATGTCTTTGCAAAGCTTGGTTCCCCAATACTGGAAGATGGAAGAATCTAATGGAGGTCTTTAGGTTATTGGGCATGTTAATTCAAAGGGAACTGAGGGACTTTGTCCCACCTCATTCCCTTTTGTTTCTTAGCCATGATGTTCCTTGGCCATGTGCTCCTCCATGAAATGCAGCCTTGCTACAGATCCAAACAACAGAGCTAACTGATTGGGGACCACAGCCTTCAAAACTGTGAGCCCAAATAAACTTCTCTTTATACGTTAATCATCTCAAGTATTTCACTAGTTATTCTGGAGCTCATAATAGACATTAAATGAGTCCCATATGAAGTAAGTACAGGAAAAGGGTGAAGAAATGATCAGGATACATTTGATGTTTCCATCAAGTAATCCCACATAACCCTCATCATGCTTAAAAATAATTTCCAACAAATTAGTCTCTTAACATTTACTCTCTTGAGGAAATGAAGAGCTGAGTTATGGTAGATATCAAATTTAGCAATTCCCCTCTTTCTCCTGTGTCATGACACTAAGGAGGCAAGCCAGCAAGCACAGCTGGCCCTCAAGTGACTCTATGAAGTCAAGGAAGCTGGCTGATGGAGCCTAAGAGAGCCCGACATAATCTCCCTGGGTCAGCCACTCTGAGGCTGATGACAGCAAGTCAGGACCTGGCAGACCCAGAGTCCAGTCACACTGTGACACAGATGGATGTTCTCTCTGAAAGCCCAGTGCCCAGGTCTTTTCTTCCTTCACTTCTCAGACCATGGTGATTATTCAACTAGTTTCCAGTCATTCATTGAGACTTTGACTTGGGTGAGAGAACTTATGCCAGAACTTGAACCACAAATTGATGCTGGGCTGCCCACCCCTGCCTTCCGTCCTCCATGGAGCCATCACACACAGTCCATCAAGTAGAACCAGCTCACAAACTGACCCTCCACTGTGGCTACCATACCATAAAACCAAAGTACATCATGGTTCTCCTCCCAAAACTAAACAAAAATGTAATGTAATGTAGAATCGGAGCAGTAAGTGAAGTAGCCAGCGAGTAATCATTTACTACAGAGCTGGTGACCTTTTCACTGAAGGACACAGGTATGATTAAACAGCCTCTTGCAGAGAGGGTGTTGAAACTGAAATTCTCTTGGCCTGACTCATGGCTTTCCAACCTTGGTTCTGGCTCCTCTCAACCTGGTTAGGGGAGCAGCTTGCCTGTCATAACAAATTCTGGGAAATCCCTGCCTCGGGCCTGCCTTGGAACACTGGAACACAAGACAAAGCCAGTGTTTCCCTTTGTCCTTTAAAGTTTGTTTGTCTGCTAGGCAAGGAGAAGTCTGCAAGTAGATACTTGAACTGGATGGAAGGAGAGCTTTAGGGATCAAATAGAGTCCTAAACCTATGGCTCAGGCCAAGGGGAGGCACAGAGGCCTAATTCCAGAAAGTGACTGCAGCTGCACTCCAAGGCTGTCATTATTTTCTTATTGGAATCCCTGAAATATTGTTTATTTCCTTCTGGAATTTTTGCTGGTGTACTCCCTCAGGATAATGATTAGGGACAGTGATTAAGGACAACAACATCACAGTGGAACCATTCCTTCTACTAGAATGAGTTTGAGGTAATGGCCAATTCTCAATGTTTGGAGATTAAGAATCTACTTTTACCTCTATAATCATTGCTGATCCAAATTCCATCTTCTTTCAGTAAACTGAGAATAATCTTGTGGGGTTACTAAAAGAAAATATTTTAATCCAGTTAACACAAAGCCCAACACCCATATATGAAGAGCAATAGAAAAACATGGTGAATGTTTAAATTTTTAAAAAAATTATTACAGAAAAAGACACGTTGCCATTAATCCTCCTCAAAATACTCCCACTTTGCTTGAATATATTTATCTCACCATTCTGCCACTTTCTGAAGAATTTCTGGGAGTCTTCTTTCCTGACTATCTTCAGTTGCACTGTTGTGGCTGCCTCAATGTCCTGAATCACTTTAGAGCACTTCCATTTCATGATCATTTTGACTTTGTGGAAGAGCCAGAGTCATATGGTGCCAGATTTCAAGAGTAAATTGAATGAGGATACACCAAAATGTGTTTATAAGCCTGTCTTTCATTGGAGCACACTCAGCCCATCACTGGCTGTACTTTTTATGATGCTTTGTTAAAGACCATTAGCAAAGAGGAGTTCCAGAATAGCTTCAGAAAGTGGCAAGGACAATGGGATAAGTGTGTTCCAAGTGAGAGGAGGTGTTTTTGAGAAGAGTTAATGGCAGTATATTTTTTACTCTAATAATTTTTTTAAAATGTAAACATTTGCCATCTATTTTGATCATTCCTCATAGTAAAAAATTTTAAATATAGACACTATTATTATAATCCTGACTTCCACAATGCTCTTCAAAGTCAGCTCCAACAGTTTTTCTCCACATGAGTAGAGGATGGCTTTACGAATCATCTTGACTGGTAGAAGAAGACAACTTTGCAGTAGAGGATTATAAACAAAAAAAAGGGAGCAAAAAACCAAATCCTTAATGATGCAAAAGTCATTCACTTTGTGTCTGTTTCCTCAGCCCCACTTGAAACCAATTCAACTGCAGTTTCATTACTGAATTATCTTACGCCACACCAGTAGGCACTTCCAGGGAGTTAACTTACCTCCAAGAGGCCAACCTGGCATCTTTATCCTGAACTTGTGGAACCAACATCATCTCATTTTTAAGACATTCTATTACTTTTCAGAGCTGCTTAAATGCTGTGTTTAAAAACAGTACTGTGGCCAAAATTCAGTCCATTCTCTGAAGCAGAAACCTGTAGAGATCAACAGACTTTTTATGGATGGGGTATCTTCAGAGTTCTTGTGAACAAGATCCTGCAAGATCATAATATTTGCATTGCATCTCCAAGCAAAATACCACATAAAGGCCCCCTTCCGTGTAGTGTAACTGGCCTGGAGTGAGTTGGTCCATCCCTGCACCTGGGAAACATGTTGTGCTCAGCAGCTAAGAGCACTCCCCTCAGCAGGAAGGTGTGCACGAAGCACAAGATGGTCTCCCAGATTCCGCCTTAGTCCAGTTGACATCTCCCCCGTGATTTTGCAGTTAGTTTTGTTTTGATCCTACACTCATGGAGAAAACTTCTCATTCTTACTTGACTCACCTCTGGTGCCTCAGTACCCCAAAGAGGTGCCCTAAATTATTGGAAATAAATATCTCAGTTACTGGAATGGTAGTGCTATCACTGTATAGTAGTAAATTTGTTTTATAGACTGTAAATCAACTATCTGTGAGGTTAGCATAATTCAGTTCCCTAAGGTCTAGCAATCTCTGAGTAGACCTGAGAAACAGAGGTTCTTTTTCAGAAAGCAGAGAACCAAACTCTAAACTAAAATTTCCATAAACTCTGCTGTGTCTCAGTTTCCCCATTTAGAAAGATGAGGAAATTAACAATGTTTACCTTATATGAGTGTTTTGAGAACTAATGATGAGATAGATATAGATTACATACACACTGTATAAATATACAAGATGACTTCACCTAGGAAAAGTGCTTGGAATAGTGCCCCAATTCACAGTGACCCACAAACACTACCTACTTACAAAGAATGCCCTGCTAGAAGAAGCCAGCTGTCATCTCTCTCTTCTTTAGAATTTCTTGCACAACATTCAGAATACTTACTTTCTGGCCACTCCACTCTGAAAGCTGAATGTCAAATAAAAGTTGCAGTCAGGGCAGCGTGATAAGCGCATGACCCATGTGGCTGCAGGGGCCTACACTGGTGTAATGCTCCACTGTTGCCATCTTGAAGTTGTTAGTAATTTTTCAACAGAGTGTCCCTCATTTTTATTTTGCACTGTGCCCCACTATGGTTTTTGTAAGTGTCCCCCAAGGGCCCTTGTGTTAAAGGCTGGATCCTCAACCAGTGCTGCTATTGGCAGGTAGTGGGGCTTTTAGGAGGTGGGGACTAGTGAGAGTTCTCAGGTACCGAGGACATGCCATCAAAGTGGATTGTGGGAGGCTAATCTTTTCTCTTTTGCCAGCTGCCATAGGTGAGCAGCTCCTTCCACCACAAGTCCCCCACCATGATGCCCTGTCTAGTTGCAGGCCCAAATCACTGAGACTGACCAGTCATTCACTGAAACCTCCAACTGTGAGCCAAAACAAGCTTTTTGTCATTCTAAGTTGATTATCTCAAGTACTTTGTTACAACCATGGAAAGGTGACTAATACAGCCCCACAAACTATATAGCTGATCCCAGTTACACGTGATCAAAGAAATAGCCAAGTGGCCCTGGATGACTGCTTCCTTTCCAGGTGACTGTCTCCTAATTCCATGCCATGGAGACAATGACAAAAGAGGTGGGAATAATATAGTCACAGACCCAGGCTTGCCAACAAACAAAACGATAACTTCCTGGGTATGCAGCAACATTTCCAGGCTATAGATAGTAAGCTTTTTTTCAGGGGTCTCAGTGAACTAAAATAAAATCTAAATGTGCTTCCTATGTTTGTCACCACCCTACACCCCATAACAGACTCATTTAGTAAGGCATTATGAGATAAATCACTCAGAGTGATAGAGAAATCAGCATGGCCTTTGGCACAGAGTGACCCAGAACAGCAGCTGCTGCAGGGAACCTGGGAGCTCAAGGTCATTCTGGCTGGGATCTCATGATGATGACTTCTGCAGGTGAGGACAGAGGATGGCTGCTTCAGAAAAGCAGCCGCTCCCAATAGCTTTCACGGAGATTGCCAAGCAGCCCCAGCTGCGGCTCCCAGAAGTTCCCCTACGGCATGCCCACCCTCCAGTGAACCAGGAAACCATCCTGTCCGTGTGACAATCCCCAGGAGACTCACAGGAACTCTCTGCTCAGATGGGAGGAACTGTGGCTAGAGTGCCACTAAATTCAGTCACGGGAGTGAAGGCAGAGTTTTGTGGCCGGTATTACAAATTATTCCCCCTTTCAATTTCTAAGATGGAGTAGCCCGACAGAAAAATAGGTTCCAGAAATGCATGGTCCCACTGTGTTCAAACATGTGGATATACTTTGCTCCTATAGTGAGTTTGAGTTTGGCGCTGGTAATTGTGAAATAATTTCTCCATTTCTGGGTTAGTTCCTAGTGTCTTCTGCTTCTCCCATGTGAGACCTGTAACTTTGTGACTGGTACCCAACAGCACAGATATGTGAAGCAGCCTTCTGAAATGCTTCTGCAAAACCCCTTGTAGAGAAGCCCACCTCCACATTCCAGCTCTCTCTACTTCAGTGACTTTGAGCATTTTGCTTCATTTCGTTCTGATTTTAACATCTAGAAATGCAGTGTAAGACCTTCCTAAGCTGGGCGTTTGCCCTCCTGTTGCAGGAGTGCAGCAGCGGCCCCAGAGAAATATTTTTCAAGGCTGAAGAGAAAACAAGGGTTGGAAAAAATGTTTGTTTATTGCCAACTCTCCCCACAGCCACCTTACATAAGAGTTCATGCTGAGACAGGCTGTCCTTCTCCTCCGGCTCAGGATCAAGAGTTAAACTCCCAGAGACGAGGACAGAAACAGCGTGAGACCCACAAGGCCATGGCCCATGACGTCCAGGAAGGAAAACCAAGTGATGTGGAGCGATTAGTCCTTTCATGCTGACGTGGGGTTTCCTGGGGTGTTTTCAAGCTTTTGGGTGGTGGCACAGTGTACAAGAGGGGGAAAGGCTCCGTGAACAAGATACGGCTAAAGAATGGTTCCTGGTTTCCCATTCTGAAGATAGAACAATGTGCAGACAACAGTGTGTGTGCTACGGGGGAGAGTCAAAAGTTCATCTCTCTTCTGGCCTTTCAAATCCATCCTGCCCTGCTAAAAGCTACACAAATAAACACTGTATCCAAATCCGGGAGCATGTAAAAGTTTGGGTGAAATTGTGTACCTTTTGTCCGACTGCTTTTTGCAAAAAAACAGAGAGAGAAAAGAAACATACTAAGTCCTTTCTTTACAAAGCAAACACAAAAAACTAACTCTGCCAGGAAAAAATGCAAAACCCATAGACAGATTATGTTTAAAGGTCCGAGGGGATGACTGGCCTCCCCGACAGTGTTACTGAAAAGCAGATGTGCCGGGCGGTCACAGAGGCCTGTAATCAAGCTTGGCAAAGCAGCCATCAGGCCATCTAAATTGTTCTCAACAGTCTCCCTCCAAGGCGACGCCACAGCCTCTCTGTGTTGACGGTTCCAGGCTTTAAGCGAATATCAAGAAAACATTTCCATGTGTTTTCACTGGACTTCTAGCTTACATGTGGATCCGTTCACTCTTGTTCCTTCCTCACCAGCCCTCATGAGTAATTGCCCATTGACTTTTCCGCTTGCCAGTCATACCTGGGGGTGCTTACACCAGCACACCTAAAGCTCAGCGCCTGTCAGCACAAATAAAATTTCTACTTGTTGCTTTGGAATGACAAGTTTAAACTAGCACAGCCTTACACGTAGGAGATATTCAGTCACTATTTTGTTGTTGGAGTCATGCGTCTTCCTCTGATTTACACCTACTGCAAAGTAACACCGGGTACAAAAATTAGAAACACATCCAATGGTTGGCCTGAAACCATGTGAATTTGAACCGTGGTCCAAAAAGGAGCAAAGGACTCCATGATTCATCTACTGGACTCTGCATATAAGAACCTTTGTGGTTCTCATGTGGGTCATTTCCTACCCTCTTTTTTCCGGTGGATTCTTCCCCAAACCATCATGGAGAGGCTGGGCTCTGAGACTGATTGTTTCTGGTCTTCAATTTGCTTTACAGACTCTGTAGAAAGGAGAAAAACAAGAACAAAAGGTCCTCATTATTCAGAACTTGTGAGTAGCAAATGGAAGAAACACATCTTGAACCAACTTAACCCTAAAGGGGAAATGTATTTGTTCATACAACCAAACCATATAAAAGGATGATGAATTGAGGAACCTTAAAACATTCTTAGGATTCTTACTCCCTCTCCTCTTTGCTCCATCCTACTGCCATTTCCCAAACCTGTTTCTCCATGAGTGAGGATGCAGTCAGCAGCAAAGCCCACTTCCCCCAGCCCGTGATCTAAGCAGAGAGGAGCCCTTCACTGCCATCCATGCTCCCTGGACTAGAGAATCCCTGAGGAGGGATGCTGACTGCCCCATTAACTGAGGCTAAGTGTGTAAGTTGTGCAGTTGACTCTGCTGAGTCGTGTGCCCCCTTCTCTAGCCTGGGAAACAGGGTTCTGCAGGAGTAGAGGATGGGTGCCAGGCAGATTAAAAAAAAAAAAAATAGCCACTAGTCCAAGGATCTAGTTCAGCGGCACAGCGCCTGCCTGGCAGGGGCAAGGTCCTGAGTTTGATTCCCTGTACTCCCACAAAGTCTACTATAAAACATCTGACAGCAATAAAGCTCATGGGAGGCCACTGAGACTACTGGCAGATAATTCCTTCCTCTGGTCTTTTTCTGTCTTCATCGTCCTCCTATAAGTGAGGATTAAATGCTATGTGTGTACTAGGGATCAGACCTTCCTCCAAAAGGTACTCAGTCAATATCCCACCATCCTGGTGGAGAAAAAATCAAAAATGATAGTTATTCTGCTTTTCTTACCAATACCAAGAATTAACTAGAAATGAAATTTGAAATTCACAAATAATCATAAGTTTAGAGACAATCTAAGAGAATCTAAATAATTTCCTACCCTTCCTTAGGGCTTTACAAAAAGGGGTGAGGGTAGGTGGTCTTATTGGAGTTTTGCATTAGGTGTGGGGTTGGACTAGGAAACTCCTAAGGTCCTATACATTCTGTGAGAGCATAAGTCTGTGAAATCTTCCCAACATAAAATTATTGATTCTTTCCTTGAATTGTCCAGGAATACTCCTTCCTCACCCCCTCTTATTAACTGATTTTAGTGACCAACAGGTTTTCAAGTTGGAGATTCTATCTAGATTTTATCATGTCAACCTCCCCTGTCCAAACGGGACCACCTCCTTACAGCCTTGGGGCTCTTCAGTCCTCAGAAACTATAGGACTTGCCTCTTGGTGTTCTTCCCATTTTAGCCAACATTTGTGAGCCTCCATCTCTGCGCATTTTTGCATTTTATTTTCCTTTGTGTCTTGACCAAATTCACCAGATCATGGCTCATAAGAGAAGTGTAAAGTTGAATGCAGAGACCAGAACATTTTCAGATTAACTTTATCAGATCACAGAGAATTACGAGGTGAAGAGGGTACTTCTTCCCATTTTTTCTGTTGTGGTAGAAGGGAACATATCTCACCCCCACTGTTTACATCCTAATCCCTAGAACACGGCAGAGAGAAATTAAGGTCACTTATTAAGGTGACTTGAAATGGGCGATTACCATGAAATACTCAGGTGGCTACAGTGTAATCACACAATCCTTAAACAGAAGAAGTAAGCAGCAGAGGAGGTTAGCCAGAGTGACGCCAGGCAAGAAGGACTCAGGTCAACTTTCTGGCTTTGAAGATGGAAGAAGGGGCTCATAAATGAAAGAATGCTGATAGCTTCTAGCAGAGGGTAAAGGCAGAAAAACAGATTTTCCCGTGGAGCTTCCAGAAAGGTACTCAGAGCCCTGTTAACACTCTGATATTAGCCTGGTGAGACCCGAGTCAGACTTCTGACCTACAGACTATAAAGATAATGAATTTGCATTGTTTAAGCCTGTAAATGTGGTTATTTGTTATAGCCACAACAAGAAACTAATATACTTCTTATTTCTTCCGTATGTGTCCTGCAGTGTCAGGGTCTTGAGTATTTACATTGCTGGACTGTGCAGAGCAGAGACAAGATAGTGTAGAGACTTGCCTCTGCTACAGTTGCATCTACTGCTTTGAATAAGTCAGATTTTTTTGGTCCTCAGTTTCTACATCTTGCAAAAGAAAATCCCCAAAGCTTTTCTCCCTGTAAATCCAGGGATTCAATATCCTCTCTCAGTTGTCAATGGCATCAGATGCTCTGGCAGCACCAGCCAAAAAAAGAGCCAGCCTCTCAGGAATCACAGCAGAACTTTGGATGGGGAGAGAAGGTTCAGAGACCGCATCCTCTCAGGGCTTGTCCCCGGCAAGCAAGGACACAGAGGCTCCCGGCAGGCTCGGAGGCCACCCTGCATGTTCTTTCCGTGCCACCTCAGAGAGTGCTGTGGGGGCTGAGGTGCTGGAGAACGCTAAACTCCAAGTGGCCTGAGTGCTCCTAAAGGGGGATTTGTGCTGGTTGCAAAGGAGAGATGGGCTCTGCATGAGGGTATTCTATGCAGAAGTCATGGCAAAAAGAAAGGGTGAGAAATCCTTCATCTTGGTGAGTGGACTCTGCTGGGAGGAGAAAAGTTTCTGTGGTGCAGGAGACATTATATCAAGATGATGGGGCCTTGACGGTTCCAGGACAGCAATGTGAGGAATGCGTGAGCTTCTTGCAGCCTTGCTGTATTCTGTGCCCTGTTGTATGCACAGGGCTAGGTATAGTGGCAGATGCACAATACATGCTCAGCACAGCGTGTTCTTGAATTTTGTGGAATGAATGAATGAATGAATAAATGAATGAATGGGCATTGTTATCGTTTGGATCTTCCATGTCCACAAAGCCCCATGTGTTAAAGGCTTGTTCCCCAGGGTGGCACTGTTGGGAGATAGTGGGACATTTTTTTTCCAGCCAAAGCCTTGGGCATTTTACTTTATTTTATTTTTATAATTAAGTTTATAGGTACATTTTAGGTATATATAATGATCACATTCATTGTAGGGAATTTCTACCTGAACATGATATATCTTGCTTCTTTTTTTTTCCTATACTCCTACCCTCTTTTCAACCCCTCTTCCCCTCCTTATTTACAGAAGTTTTGTTTCCATTTTCTCCTTCTTTTCTTTTCCCTTCCTTTCTCCCTCCCACCTTCCTAGTTCCCCTTCCCATTTGGACATTTTCTTCCTATGTCATAATCTACTATATATTTTAGTCCTTATTTACATTTTTGGTTTCTCATAGCAGAGAAACAATGCAGTATTTCCGCATGTGTGTCCAATTTATTTCACTAAAGAGTATAGCCTCAAGGTGCATCCATTTACCTAGAAATGTCTCAAGCTTATCCTTCTTTGTGGTAGAGTAGTATTCCATTGCATAAAAAAAAAACCACATCTTTATTATTTATCATTTGATGGACATGTGGGCTGTTTCCAAAATTTAACTACTACCAACTGTGCTGCTATAAACATGGAAGTGTATATATCACTATGGTGTGATGTTTTTATTTCCTTAGGGAAGATACCAAGAAAGGGAACAGATAAGTCATATGGAACCTCTAGTCCTAGTTTTCTGAGGAATCTCCACACTGATTTCCACAGTGGTTGCGCCAGTCTTCACTCCCACCAACAATGAAGAAGGGTTCTTTTCTTCCCATAGCTTCTTCAGCATTTATTATTGGTTGGTTTCTTCATGATAGCCATTCTTTCTGGAGTGAGATAGAATCTCAGCATTGTTTTAATTTGCATTCCTCAAATGACCAGTGATTTTGAGTATTTTTTCATGTATTTGTTTGCCATTTCCACTTCTTCATCTGAGAAGACTCTATTTATTTTAGATGCCCATTTTTGGACTAGATCTTTAAATCTGGGGTCTCCATTTTTTTTTTGAGTTCTTTATATATTCTAGACAGTAGTCCTTTGTTTGAGAAACAGCTGGTAAAAAGTTTTTACCGCATTTATGGGTTGTCTTTTCACTCTGTTGGTGGTTACTCTTGCTGTAAAAAATGCTTTTTAATAAGATGAGATCCTACTTGTGGATTCTTTGTGATAGTTCCTGTGTGATTGGGGCTTTGTTCATAAAGTCTTCACCTACATCAGTGTCATCAAGAGTTCTGCCTATTCTATCTTCCAGCAGATTTAGTGTTTCTGCTTTACTATTTAGATATTTGATCCATTTTGATTTTAGTTTAGTGCATGGTGAAAGATATCAGTCTAGTTTTAATCTTTGGCATGTGGAAAGCCAGTTTTATCAGCACCATTTATTAAAGAGGCTGTCTTTCTTCCAGTGAAGGTGTTCAGCACTTTTGTCAAAGGTAAGGTGGCTTTTGACAAAGGGGTTAAATATGTTCACTGGAAGAAAGACAGCCTCTTTAATAAGTGGTGCTGGAAAAACTGGCTTTACACATGCCAAAGACTAAAACCAGACCCATATCTTTCACCATGCATTAAACTAAAGTCAAAATGGATCAAAGATCTAAATATTAAAACAGAAACACTAAATCTATTGGAAGAGAAAGTAGGTAAAAATCTTGAAGACATAATGGTAGGCAGGGCTGGGGATATAGCCCAGTGTCACAAAGGTCTACGTGGCAAGTGCAGGGTCCTGAGTTTGATTCCTGGTACCAAAACCAACAAACAAACAAAAAAAATTCATAGGTGTAGGCAGAGAGTTCATGAACAAAAACCAAACTGCATGGGAAATCCTTCAATGAATCAACAACTGGGATCCCATTTTACTGAAAAGTTTTTGTACATCAAAAGGAATCACCAATAGAGTAAAAAGAAAATCCATGAATTGGGAAAAAATTTTAGCCAACTGTCCCTCAGACAAAGGACTACTATCTAGAACATAGAAAGAATTAAAAAGAATCAGGCCCCCAAAATTCAAAGACGAAATCCAAAAATGGGCATCTGAGATGAATACACATTTCTCAGATGAAGAAATACTAATGGCAAATAAATACATGAAAAATATTCAAAATCACTGGTCTTTTGAGAAATGCAAATTAAAACAACACTGAGATTCCATCTCACCCCAGAAAGAATGGCCA